CACGATCCCGCTCACAGGATTCGAACCCTGGGCCTTCGGTCTCCTGCCCAAACGCTTAACCTCTAGACAACTGAGTCGGCGTCCAATCGTGTCTAACTCCAACCAATCCACGAAACTGCGCGAACATCCTTCATTGTATAGAGGTAGATACCTGCCTCTACCCGACACAGATTATCTAGTTTTGAATGTCTTCGATAAATAGTTCATAGTTTTAGGCCAGATATGAAACGACTGGCTCTACTGATAAATGCACTGTTTTCAAAAATCGTACAGAACTACGTTCACTAGTGGGTGCTTTTTAATACTATTTCGCTTTTATTCCTAGTTTTTCTTGTCGTTCAAATTGTTTCTTTAGTATTTTAATATCCAATTCAATTAAGTTGGGGTGAGGAACAAGAGTCATGCTTATGAAATCTATTTAAATTTCTTTAAAGTGATACTGTTCTTCGAACAGTTGGTCGGATGGCATGGCTCGGCCATGCAGGCATGGTCCCTGCTGAATGTTACCTTATATATTCTATTCATATTATTTATAGTGTTTTTTCTCTAGCCCAACCTTGTTCTACATCATGTATTGGTAATTGATACGATACAGTGAGTTGGTGTAGTCGATGGTGTGACTTCCACTTAAAATCTTATAGATTAGGCAGTTAAATCATGACAAATCTACAATTTTAGGATTAGGTCTATTATTAGAGCAGTACTAATATTATAGTAAACCATAATTCTACATTGGTAAGCCCGAATAAAGAAACGCAACCTATCATTGATAACGTTGAAGCGCATTTTTGACCAGTTTGACTGAAGAACTTTCCATACAATCTTCAATAGTTTTATCCGTCCCCATTTAGAGTACGGAAACATAGTACTCCTCATCTCACTCCAAAAGGACAAGGTCACTTTGGAGCGTATCCAACGGCGAGCCACGAAATCAGTTCGAGGACTCAAATCTAAGCCTTACGACGAACGCCTCTATTTACTAGACCTTTAGAGTATAGGCGCCTTAGAGGTGATTTATTAATGGCTTATAATATTCTTAACACTTCTGGACATCCTCTTAAATACTTACTTAAGCTTAGTTCTAGTATTAAGGGGTAACACCCAGAAACTGGAAACTCAACATAGCAAGATGGAGTGTAGACACAACTTCCACTCCTTAAGAGTTGTCAAAAGCTGGAATTCACTGTCGGCCGAGCTAGTCCAAGCGACTTCTCAGGAGTCCTTCAAGAGGCAACTTGACCTATTTTTAAGGACCAAGGATAGTATCACACTGATTTACCAATTTCTTTTCCTCTTTTATTGTTAACATACATAGGTTCCTGCCTGGAGGATTTGGTGATCCCCTGTTACTAGACACGGAAGCCTGTTAAGCGAAAGCTTCTTCTATTCCGTCCACAACCATTTTGAACCATTTGAACTTACTCACCTAGTGTACATTCTGTACTTATTACTGATGCATCAGCTGTGGGTATTGGTGCAGTTTTGGAGCAGGAAAGTAGAGCAGTTATCTGTGTTTCACGCAAACTTACTGTTACGAAGCAAGGTTATCAGCAAAATCAGCGAGAAGCATGGGCTGTGTGGTATTATCAAGGTAGCGAAATTATTGTTGCCTTCATCGTAGATACATCAGTGTATTTAACTTTAATTGTCGTTAACATTATCCCATAACATCGCGTTTTTTTCCATTAATCTACATTTATTTCAAATCGAACTTTAATGAAGACTTTTCTGATATGAAATATGTATTCCTGTTTGGTTTTTTCCGATATATAGTGTTTTTGTTTTGCTTTTTTGAAAATTTTAATTTTATCGTGTAGATAATTACTGACATTCGCGATAATTAGAATCAAATACTAATTAGATGAGGAAGTGGAACTTTTTAGACGGATACGATCCAATTAGTATCATTGGAAGATATAGTTACTTAGCATTCATACATACTGTATTGACATTTACGTCATTTCAAGTAAAATGTTAATTTGACATTAATAAATATAAATGAGAATCTCAACAATAGTATTTTGACCTCGAAAATGAGTTCACAATAATAATGATTGTTTCAGAACTTTGACTTTACTGATTACACAGGAAAATGTAATACTTGATTACATTTCAGTTTTGCTGTAATATTCACCAACTGTTTATACACTTAAATGTATACTTTCCTTATCAATTACGGTGAGTCAAACATAAATCGAAATTGCGGCAATCTTCCTTTGAATTATAGTGAAATTAATCTGTTTACACTTCATTAAAGACGACTTTCCTTTTAAAAGTTTGACGCGCGTATTCTTAACAGTATCTAGTCATACATGTCGTTGACATAACTTAACACATGTATGATCTTGGAAGTATATCGCTCACTAGTCTGTGTAAATACAACTTATACTTAATGTAATTAACTCATATCAACATTGCTTAATGGCCTTAAACAACTTTCTTTAGACTTTCAATATTCCACATGGCTTCATGCAGGTTATTTCTGTTTAATTTGTCAGTATATTTAGTTGTTTTATAAGAGTGATTGACATAGTGATTCCCAGCTGATTCAATTAATCATGTCAAAAATATTAAATTAAGCTACAGATTCCCTCTCATATCCAGTTGAATACATGATTTATATTCTATCTATTATTACTACGTTTACAGGTTAGAAATGGAACGCCACAATAATAATTTACAATACAATTAATAAACCTGAACTATTGTAGAATTATAACAAACGGAATTTGACTTTGAACTTAGTAAATCTCAAATTTCAAAGACCAGAAAAAATTAAAACCCAGAGACCACCATCCTTCATTGACAGCAACCGCCAGAATAACCAATGAAGTTCCAAATACTATTAATATCAAGCTCATGGAAACTAAAATGAATTTTCAAAGCCTTTCAAGCTGTTCAGTTGGTAGTTATCAAGTACATTTAAAACGTATCACATGTATTGCTTTAACATAGAAAACGAAATTAATAAGAATTCGTACAGACATTTGTACATATTTTGAAAAATCAAAGAAAGAAAATGATCAAAATCTTTCATGTGATGGAAATTATAGTCACTGAATAATCCAGGTTATCGACGTTTAGATAAACCGACACCGAGACCAATGCCTAACAGTGCAGCCGCTCCTAAAACAGCACCACCAACAACTGCTAAACCAGTCAAGCCATCTAAAATAATAAATTTTCATATAATTCAAGTGAAATGGTTTGTTAAATTACTTTGCTGATACTCTTGTACAGAAACATGTGATTTACACGTACAAATCATTGGAATCAGTAACTACGTGTAAAATATAGTAGGAGCTGAAAGACCTTCGAACTACTTATACTAAAGTCTAAAACAGTATGTGAATTTAAGTGGTATAAAGCTACATAACTATATTGCTTAGAAACGACTTCGCAATCTGTCGTCATATTTGAATTTCAGATAAATTTCAAATCCAACTTTACCCTTCACTATTTGAACCATGTTTGAATGTAAGAGGAACTTCGATGTCTGGAACTTCTTCAAGACATACAACACTGTAGGATATATTCATATCATTTAACCACAAGAGGTAAGACAATCTAGTAAGTTGACCATCTCACTTATCTGTCCCACCAACACTGGTAAGTTGGTAGATGACAAAATTCCAGACTAAATATTAATATGCCCGCTCCGATCCTATTAAAATACCCGATGTTCCCTAGGTGGCATGCCTATAGGTCTATCAAAAGGCCAATATAATACGTGGAAATTTGATTTGGATTATTCCATGATTGTAAGACATGAACTTTGGAAATTAAGGACATGTTATGTATCGTGCATATCTTCTAATCATTGCACATATATGACAAAACATATCGATGAGCAGTCTTGGTGCTAGGTGAAGATTGTAACTTATTATTAAATATTTGAGCAATTATTTAGTGGGTTCATTGAGATTTATTTGAAGTACTTCAACACACAACCTAACACGGGGCTCTGTGATAGTATAGAAGTTGGTGGAGAAATGGCTGAGTATATAGACAAAGACATTAGTCCAAGAAGTTACTGAATATTGGTCTCAGTAGGACAGAGAAGTTCAGACATTTTAGTTATGACTGAAAGTATAGGATGAAAACATCAGGTGACCTATCTCAAAACCGTCCGAATTTCAAACTTTGATATAATTCTTAATCAATTCTTAGGTTTCCTTTTTTATTTGCTTTCAATAAATTTCGTATTGCAACCGGGGCATCTTGTATTATCTTTAATAAATAGACTCCTTACATGATGTGGCAAACTGAGTTGAAACAAACCGTAACCCAGATAAATAAAATAACTGCTTGCTAAAACCATATTGTCTTCAAACCTTAATTTCATGAAACACTATTTTAGATGTACGATTGGTGAATTCAGTCACTGGCAGATCCCATGGTTTTTGCAATGGGTCATATAAGTTCAAAATTAGTCTTCATTGCCCTATTATTATAATAATGTTTAGAAACAGACTACTTCAATAACTTGGATGGATCAACCGTAGTAGTTCGGCAGCTAATAGCCTCTGGACAATAACATCATCGTTCACTTGAGTGTTAACCAAAGCCCATGACCTGTAATACACTTTAGTTAGTTGACTACTTAAAACGCCACTACTAAACATTCATTTAATCTAATCAGTGAATGAGAAATTTTGGGCCCATGCAAAAATGGGACAAAGTAAACGAAGTCATTAATCTCAACGGTAAGAATCTGTTCACTGATTTCAATCTAGACATTTTCTCTGTCTAGTTATGGTGTTGCAGAGTATCATAAATGGGACTGAAGTATCCGAAGATAATACTCTATTTCCATACACTTAGGATACAAACAATTATTAACCTCCTAAAAACATGGAAAGTCATGGGTTTTAAATATAATCATAAATCCTTGCGTCAATATGCGAACGACAGTGTGAAAATAAATTCAATAACGTTCCAAAGTGCAAATACACATACACTTAGTCAATGTAGACTTAGGTAAAAACGTTTTTCGATACCTCTTTTAGCACGAGACTGTATTGTATTCCTTAATTCTTTGACCTGTTGGTTTGACGGTTGTATCGCCAATATATTATCACAACACCGAGTTGCGTTTTCATAGTCCTATGAGGTGTTACGTAAGCAAACGCACTTACTGACAGCTTAGTGTGAGCTACTGCCAAATAAAACAAACAGTCACGCCGTAGACTATCATCTTTTGTGCGATTAAATAATTCTGCAAGTAGTATTATTTTACTGAAACAAACCTTCTAATAACTTAACGGAGAGATTAAGTGCCTCTTTACGAGTAGTACGGAGGAGGTCAACAGCATAAAGGAACTGAACTCCATCATCCACTATGCCACTTTCTGCCATGACAACAAAAGCATCTCTTGATTCCTGACAGAAATTAAATATAAAACGTCAATTACTTGAATGGAAGATATGGGTTCATTCTTATCAAGCAAATCCATGTTTGAAGAATCTCGTTAAATGATTTTGACAACTATAATGATAAATAAAACCGTGCGTGACTTGTGACCAAAATCTCAACCTGTGAAAAAAAGAGCCGGTATCAGAAAAGGATGAACATGTTTATCTGGCATGAAATTCGTTTAAAACTGAAGATAGCGTAAAACCTAGTTAAGTAAATTTTTGAACGGTTTTCATCGGTGAATAAAATACTACCTCTGATGCAGAGGCATTTATAATGGGTCAACTTTGACAGCAACGTACCACACAACGAGTGACTTGACAGGTTAGTAAACTCTAAACTATTTTACCACAAATTATGAGGTGATTTGGTTACGACGTGTAGGATACTGAGGAACGGTTTTGGACCCGAAATATTTTCTCTTGTTCCCTATTAGCCTACGACAACTGGGAGGACATGGGAGGTAAAATCGAAGGCCAATAACGAAAAGAAATCATGTAGTGTACAGGTTGTTTTACAAACTAGTAAACTCTCATCAGACAGTGATGGAGTAGAAGTGTTCACTTTTTTGACTGACTCATTCGCGAGATTAGATATGTACAGGAACGGGAAGTTTAGTCCTAACGTGATTTGCATTTATCAAGCTTTTGCTGTTTCCTTACACAACAAAAGCACCGTTTTTGATCCAAAGAATTTGTCCTATGCTTAACGTTCGGTAAATTACTTTTCATTTTGTGTTTCACCCAATATAATATTTAACTGTGGTTTTGCCTCAGCTTACTATTCGATTGTTTTCCAGTTTTAACGTAAGTGCTATTTTAATTTATTTCATCCGTTTTTATCCATCTTTTATCCGTTTTTAGTGTATTTTTTGCGGTCTTAGACTTTTGCTAGCATCTATAACACAGTTTACGTGAACATTGTCATGAAAAATTCATGCAAACGACCTGGATGCTGTTTTGCTGTTACTTCTGTCATTCGGTACGACAACTGCAAAGGTTGGTTCCACGAAGCGTGCACAGATCTCACAGCAACTGCCTACAACATACTCAGCAAGTCGGATCATAAGTGGGAATGTGTTACTTGCAGCACGGATGCTGAGGTTTTGCTGAGTAATATCATTGTCCCATTGACAGGTGTGCGGAATAAGTTGTCAGCAAACTTTGAAAATGACAGTCATAAAACGGGTGGACAAACAAGGGCGCGCAACGAAAAACAGAATAGGGATGTCGACAGGTATGCCATCGATGGAGCATGCATTAGCACTAATGATGACACGTTGAAATTCAGCACCATCATTACGTCTACGGTAATAGACTCCCTCATTAAACTCGGGTCTCCCAGCTCAGAGTCCTTGAATGCAACAGTGGTTCCCAAAAACACTGTAGGTGATTGGACCAACGTTAACAGAACTAAAAAGAACCAGGCGTCACCGTCTAAGCTGAACAATCCACGTGTTGTATGGAAATCAACTGGTGATTTGGTCACACAGTCTACCTCCAAGAATGTTCGTCCCGTCATCAAAGAGCCTAGGATTCAGAAACGTGCTTCGACCTCCAAACAGCAAGGTGCTAAACCTGAACGCATCGGAAAACCTGAGAAAATAATAACGCTTCGTGATGACCCTCTTATAATCATGAACCTGAAAGGCAACCCTGACCTTCTTCTCAGTTTGTAGGACAAAAATGACAGGATGCTATAGGGTGAACTGAACTTCCTAGAATAGAGCCTTTGACGGTCACACGGCTCACTCGGGGAAAGGAAAATACGTATACTGGAGTTCAAAACTCAACTAAAGCTCGGTTCTTCAACTTCATTGAGGACTTGGGATTATATGAAAGTGTGAAGTTGGCAACTCGTTGGAGTAACAGTCAGACACCATCGCACTCAGACTGTGTATATACAAACGAAGAATTTCTAGTTGACAACCTCTCAATTCTGGCTCCTATGTGGAAAAGCGACCACGCCATTATAGCCTTCATTTTTATCAGCAAAACTGAGTTAAGATATCCCACCAACAACATGCACTGGAGTTTCAAACAGTTGAATGTGTCAGCTTTACAGGACTATCTACAACAGAGGAATTGGGATGTTCTCCCTCAAATCGATCTGGATACTTACTGGGACTTCCTACCGCACACGCTCTTATGTGCTACAAAGCGGTCAGTTCCTTAAATGGTCCCCAAAAGCTTCAAGAAACCTACAATCAATAAGATCCACACTCTTCGCCTGCTAAGCCGCAAATGGCACAGTTGGGTAGAATGCAAACGAACTGACAACAACGGCGCGTACAGGCAATGGAAACATACAAGGAACATATGCACGGAGGCTATGAGAGAAGACAGGCTTCAGTACCAGATAAAGCTTGTGGATAAATTTGTCTCTAATCTTAAAAGCTTATTCCGTTATTCAGCCTCTCTTCGTCAAGCCAAAACTGGAGTTTCCCAATTGCTAGGTCTTAACGGCCCGATCAATAACGACGGCGACGCCGCCCACCTTTTGGCTGAACAATACTCTCGGACATTTCAACCGACCCACATCAACTACACTGATGACAGTTTCATCTGCAACTCTAAAGTACCTTCCGAAGTGAACCTAATCGCTGACTTGGTGTCCCGGAAACTGCAGCACTTAAGAACAGACACTTCTCCTGGCTCGGAAATGGTCCATTCTGCTATACAGAGGGAAGCAGCCTCAATCCTGGTAACGTCGCTTAGCGTGATGTTTTCACACGCGCTTTGCTGAAGAAAATTACCGGGAAATTGGAAACTGGCTCACATCACACCAATTTTCAAAGGAGGTCGACGCAGCGAACCTTCACGTTACCGGAATGTGGCTCTTCTCTCAATACCTTCAAAATTCATGGAGTCCCTGATATGCGACGGTATAAATGACTATCTACTGTTTTTTAAATTCTCCTCATCCCAACAGCATGGTTTCAGGAAGGGCTACTCTTGTATAACCAACCTGCTGACTGCGGTGGACAAATGGACAGGCACCTTGATCACAAGGGGAAGGCCGACATTATCTACCTAGATTTCTCAAAAGCTTTTGACAAGGTTAAACATAAATGTCTCATCAATAAGCTCAAAGGATTGAGTATCAGACCACCTCCAATCGATTGGTTCACTTCATACCTGAAAAATCGATATTTTTAGGTCAGGGTTAATTTCACTTTATCTCAGGCTATGGAATGTTTTAGTGGTTTCCCCCAGAGCTCAGTACTAGAACCTCTTCTCTTCTTGATCTACATAAATGATCTTCCCCAAAAGGCAACGTCAGACTTATTACTCTTTGCCGACGACGTGAAACTTTTGAGAGAGATACGCAACCAAGACGATACACAGGCACTTCAGGAGGATCTGACTCGAAATCAAAGTTGGGCAAACGATAACAGACTTACCATTAACACTTCAAAGTGGAAAGTAGTCCATCTGCGACATGTCGCAGACTACAGTTACAACTTAGGAAATTCCTCTCTATTAGTATCCCAAATCGAAAAAGATTTAAGAGTCATGGTGCCCTACGATTTAAAGTCTCACGCTAACTGTGGCAAAAATACCTTTCGAGCAACCCTTGCACTGGTAACATTGAAGCGCATTTTTGGCCAGTTTGACGGAAGAACTTTCCATATATTCCCCAAAAGTTTTATCCATCCCCATTTAGAGTACGGACACATAGTACTTCCTCCCTCACTTCAAAAGGGTAAGGACACTTTGGAGCGTATCCAACGGCGAGCCACGAAATCAGTTCAAGGACTTAAATTTAAACCTTACGAAGGGCGCCTTCAATCAATTAAGCTTTACTCATTAGAGTATATACGTCTTAGAGGTGACATTCTGATGGCTGACAGTATCCTTAACACTTCTTTACATCCTCCCAAACACCTGCTTAAGCTTAGCTCTAACACTAACCTAAGGGGTAACACCCAAAACCTGTAGACACAACATAGCAGAACGGACTGTAGACACAACTTATATATTTAAAGAGTTGTCAAATGCTAAATATTCGCTGCCGGCCGAGCTAGTCCAAGCGACTTCCCAGGAGTCCTTCAAGAGGCAACTTGACCAATTCTTAAGGACCAATGACAGTATCATACTATGACTTACCAATTTATTTTTCCTTTTTTATCGTTGACAGACCTAGGTTCCTGCCTAAAGGTATTGGTGATCCCCTGCTACTAGACACGGAAGCCTGTTAAGTGGAAGCTCCTTCTATCCCCTCCACAACCATTTCAGCCATTTGAACAGAAGCCTGTCAGGAAACTCAGTCGTTGAAAAACAAATTTGAATTGGGAGTTAAGATCTTAAGCTTCAGAGTGTATTTCCAATTGGAAGAAATATTAATGTCGTTCATGTTAGAGCCAACTATTGTTCTCAGGTATTTAGTTAACAGACGAAATAGTTTTTAAAGAGCCTCTAGTTAGTTGTGAAGTTCGCTAGTGTAGTCAATATCAAAGGAAATCTCCAAAAACTTTTTGAACTCTTTCACTCATGAATTACAAGGTGATATTTGAACGAAAATTTTCATAAACAAAGAGAACAGAACGACAGATATATCTACTTGCATGGTGCACCAATGATCCCTCAAAAAGCAACTACCTGGATGTTTAAATAAGCTTACTTAGATCTGGTCAATTTTCTTCTAAAACTTAGCAGGCTCAGTGCTTAATATTACATCTAGCTTTAAGAAGCTATATCCGAGTAACGCATGTTTTTAGGTAACGCAATAATCAAAACCTTTCATTTTTCGATAATAAGGATACGAAGTCGGCAACGCTTCAGGGGTATCTTCCACTGATGGAGGTTCGAGCACTTGAAGGTCAAACTGTAGCGAGATGATAGGTGCGTCACCTCGACAATTCGTGAAGTTTTCCAGAAGCTGTCAAATCAAGACATTTCTAGATTTGAGTTGAGTTAAGCCACATCATGTCTAATAACTTCCATTCTTCAAGTAACGAAGACGATGCCATCGTGATGATACGTGATATAGGACGAATCATCAATGATATTATGTTATCTTGAAGATTGACAAGCTGGG